CTTCCGTAGTGATACTGCCTCGGAAACCCAAGGAGGGGTCGCTATGAGTCAGGTTTGACTCGACGGCACATAACAACAACAACAACAACAATATGTATATATATATTAAAAAAATTCACTGCTGTTGAGTTGGTTCCAACTCCTAGGGACCCCTCATTGGGTTTCTGAGGTGGTATTTCTATGGAGGTAGATTGCCCAGTCTTCCTTCTGAGGAGTACCCATGAACACAAACACATGCCTGCCCTCATCAAAAATTTTGCAAAATTCACATTAGGTAGTGTACAAGTAAAGATACCATTTTTTAGTAGTAATGAATAACTAAGTTTTGATGTGGATTCAAGGAATATGCAATATTTTTCAAAGAAGGTAATCGCACTCCGGAGATAGTCTGGTGAGGAACCCAGGGAGTATGATAATATCTTGAGACACCTCCTCTGCATCCACTCACTCTTTGACTCCAGGGCGAGTATCTAACTGCAAAGTAGAGAAAGAGATGGGGCACTGTGGTTAGTATGCATCTTAACTGTTGCTAGTTGTGTCTGTAGCACAATAAATTAATAATTATTTTAGTATATTAAATTTATACAGGTTTTTGTCAAGGAGTCCAATTGAATAGCTCAGATCAATTGAGAGCTTGGATAACCGGGAATCTTTTAATGTTCTAGAAATGCTTCTTAAAATCTTTCTTTTATTTAATTTTTAGAAGAAAGATTTATTAAAACTATCTCTCATGAATGTGCACTGATTCAAATACTAACCCAAAGCAAAGCTGTTGCTGTCAAGTTGATTCTGACTCATGATGACCCCATGTATTCTAGAAATGCCCCGTAGGGCTTTCTCAACCATAATCTTTACAGGAGCAGATGACCAGGCCTTTCTTCTTTGGCACTGCTGGATGGTCCAAACTGCCAACCTCTGGGATAGTAATCAAGTGCAAATTATTTGCGCCACCTAGGGATCTTCACACAAATGCAAACATACATAAATAATTTAGCATTATAAATGTTAGTCTATAAACCTGGATTTATTTACTTTGACATATTTTTTAAAGATTAAAGGTTGATCTTAGCCATTCCACACAAATTTTGACATATTTTGGATGCTTATAAAAATAAATGTTTATGAAGGATTATAAATGTATTAACAGACCTATCCAAAAGTGTATAGTTATTGTGTATTAAATAACAATATAAAAAAAGTATTTTCATAGCTGGCTCATGCTTAGTTTAAGAATCTGTAGCCCAATTTCTTTGAAGAGGGATCATGAGTACTAACTAAATCTTTACCAGAACTTGAAAAAAATATGAATTACCAGATAGCTGAAAATGAACTGAAGATGAAAAAAACACAAATGAAATTTTAAAAGAACCAATTCTTAGTTCTATCAGAGTTTGGTTACTTTTGATGTCCTATGATGAACAAAAGCACACTTGTATGTTGTCCTTAATCCAAAACTTCAGTTTTAAAAAGTAATATGTAATTCATACCTTGTAATGCAACCAATATTGTCATGAATGAGAGGACATAAATAAAAAAATAGCTTAACATTTGATATTAATGCTTGACTTGGTGTATTTTTTCCCAAAGAACTGTTTGAAAAACTGTTTTAACATGGTTTTGCGTTAACTATAGTAACAAAGTGTCTGTGATTTCATTCCATTGTAAGACGGTTGAAGAACAGCAAGGCATCTACAGATGGACATCGCTACCTTTTTCGTGGCAGGATCAATACAGAGGTGATGGAAGTTGAGAATGTGGATGATGGCACAGGTTGGTGATTAGTAGATTTAAATGGATTGCCTGTGGTGAACCCCTCATGAGACAGGTTTCTCATTTGAATAATTTATTTGCACTGCATCTGAGCTTTGATCAACTTTGTTAGGTAGAGCAGGTGGGCAGAGGGAACAGACAGGAGGGGTCGCTATGAGTCGGGGCCAACTCGAAGGCACAGAACAACTACAACATAAAAAGAAAATGTCTAGTGTTTTAATCATAGGACATTCACAGTTCCTGGTATAGAGTGTATGTGCAGAAAATTTTTAAAGAATGAATAGATTATCTTTAAGTTAAACTATATTTTATAAATATATGTGTGATATTTTGAGAATATTTTGTTTCTATAATATATTCACCCATAGAATATAGCATACTCTGGATTTGTTTTAGCTATATAGCTGTTAGGAGTCTGAGTGGCATAAGCAGTTGTGATCTACTAACTGATAGGTTGGAGGTTCGAACCCATCTAGCAGCCCTGCTGAAGAAAGGCCTGGCATTCTGTCTCTATAAAGATTACAGCTGAAAAAGCCCTAAAGAACAGTTCTACTCTGTAACTCATGGGCCTCCTATGGGTTAGGAGCCAACTTAACTGACAGCTAAGAACAACAATGAAGAGGTTATTAATATAAATAGGTCCTCAGTTTGCTTATAGAGAAAACCTGTGGATGGAGGCAGTTCATGTAATTTTAAGTGCTCATTGCAGTAAAACTTTATAGATTTGAAGGTATGAAATTTTACAATCAAGTTCACAAAATCATAATTTCTTACAAACATTAAGCAATATGAAGTTAAAATGAAATTTTATTTTCAATTTGGAAAAATAGTTTTTTATATACAAATGCTTAGTCAATGGAATCACATGCTCTCCTAATGACTCACATTTTCAAAGGTAGGTTTTCAGGAGAAAATGTTGTCATTATTAGGTCCCATCGAATCGTCTCTGACTCATAGAGACCCCATGCACAGCAGAACGAAACACTGCCTGGTCCTGTGCCAGCCTCGTGATCCTTGCTATACCTGAGCTTATCACTGCAGCCACTGTGTCAATCCATCTCTTTGAGGGCCTTCCCCCCTTTCGTTGACCCTCCACTTTACCAAGCATGATATCCTTCTCTAGGGAATGGTTCCTTCTGACAACGTGACCAAGGTAGGTGAGACGAAGTCTGGTGATTCTCGCTTTCAAGGAGCATTCTGGCTGCACTTAGGAGAAAATATAAGATCTGAAATAAAATGTATCAATTGTTGCTAAATGACTTTTATTTTCAAACTGAGAATTGTCTTTATGATATTCAGTATCAACATGGGATAGTGGCCCAGATTAGGTGCTCTTTCATGCCACATACCTCAGTATTCATTACTGGGTCCCAGAGAGAGAACAATGTTTATGATCTGTCAAGGGCACATATTGTCAAGTGCTATCTGGTATGCCATTACTCTACACACATTTTTATATCCTAAGAAACTGTCAGGTACTAAAAATGAAGAACCTTGATTGCCATAAGGGAACAGCACATGCAATGAGAAACCTTGGATAGTGTGTGAGACTGGACATGCACCATGATGTGGAGAGGTTTCTTGCTGATGAAAGGTGGGATGTGGGTGTTGAGCTATCACATAGCTGGCACAGGTAGAAATCTTCCAGTTTCAAATTCTGTACTATACTGTAATATAATTGCAGATACTCTCATGTTAACATGTGGGACCTAGTAGGCTATCTTTCATTTTTTATTATAAGGTGACAGTCATTTGTTTTAATACTTTCTAAGAAACTATTTTATTGACAGTTAGAAATAAGTTAACTATCTGAAATATGAAGAGCTTTCTTGCCTCAGTAACCTGAATGCTTAAGAGAACATCTGAAAGCCCATGCTGAGCTTGAGTGGGATTCAGAGGAAGTCAGATAGTAAAGAAAGACACACTCAGAATCTTCATTCTGTTTTCTACTGGACTTGTCTCCACCTAATGAAGTCACCTCTCCCATATTGCTTTGGCACTCTGTTGTCTTCCTTTTTTATGATTGTGTAGAGACACAGAACTCCTGCATCACTTCTGGTGGCATTGGGTCCCTAGCCCTTGTGCCTCACTTCCTTCCTCTCCACCAGTTGATGTGATTGTCACTGGTGATACCATCTGCACTGGTAGTCTAAGTGAATTTTGATCATGATTACCACGATTACTTTGTGAAACTGGAGCACAAGATAAAGAAATATAAGATCCCAGAGCCATTGGAGACTGTGGTATTAAGTGAGGCCCTCACTGTCTATTTAAGATACTAGACAGTGAAACTCTATGAGAGGTGGCTTTGGATGGAGCTTAAATGCAAATGATCCTTGGATTAAATCTCATGGAAAAGTTCCATTGGTGATAGTAAGATTCAAGCATTTGGGGCTGTACTACCTGGCAGGGTAGGAACATTGTGGAAAACAAGGCCTAAGACCCTAGTAAGCATAGGGTAGTGGGAAAGACAAGATGTTATAATTTATTCAGTTGTCATAAATCTGTTGTCTGATGGAGTCTTTTCACATAAAGTTCCAAGGCTCAACTTCACAGAAATATATGAAGAAATTCATTAGACTTTGTCTTACTCAAAGAAGCTCTGGTGGTTAAAGCATTCTGCTGCTAATCAAAAGGTTCAAACCCACTAGCTGCTCCATGGGAGGAAGATGAGACAGTCTGCCGCTGTGAAGATTTACAGCCTTGGAATATCTATGGGGCAGTTTTACTCTGTTCTGTAGGTCACTATGAATTGGAATCAACTTGAAGGCAGTGGATTTGGTTTTTGGCTTTGTCTTACTCAATGAGGGCTCCCTCCCTTTTTTCCTCTCAAACTTGTATCTATGTACCACATTGTAGGAATTTGGCAACTATTTGTTGCTACCAGGTCACTTAGAGAAATTTTAGGCTGCAAAGCTGTAATTGAATACTCTCCCCTAGCTTCCTGCAGGAAAAAATTTAGTTTTCTCATGGGTGTGTCCAGTTGGTCTCTGGGGAAAGTGTGCATCCTCTGCCAAGACTTGGAAATTCAAAACTAGCATTTTTGGAGACAGATGCAACCTTAAAGGTCAACTAATTAACCCATTAAAATTTCAGATGATGGAAATGAGGTCAGATTTAAGAACTCACTCGTCCAAGTTTATTCAGCTGTTTAGTAGAGAGTTGAGAATTAACTTTGCTAGGTTCCTATGTCCATGCCTTGAGAAATAGTCAGGAAAGCAGAGGCTCCTTTGATGCTTTAAATTCACAGGGACCACTTGGACACCAGTGAAGGAAGAAAGCATGAGCATGTAGAGATTAATTTTGGTTGTTTATTTTTCTTGAGAAACAGTCAGGGGACTGCCCTAACTTACTTTCTCCTCTTTTGGTCATTTCCATCATGGAATCTTCATTCCTGTTGATGGGCCTGGGTTTTTCTTTCTGCTCACTTTATACTCTAATGATGCTCTGATGCTGATTGACCTCAGCCAAGCTGATCAGGTCCATATGCCATGTTTTCCCCATTCTTTATAAGTCAGGTGTGGTATGGATGAATACCACAAGCTAATCTACCCATGGCCAAAATTAAGAAACAATACTTACTCCCTATTTAAGTGTAAATAATAAAAACAAGTCAATAGACATGTATATATGTATATTTTTAAGTGTGCTTAGAACTTTTAATAGATGGAAAATCTATTTGTTCTCCATCCATTTCAATATACTGTAGAAATACTAAGCATTTTTATATACTGTATATAGAAGTATCCTCGGAAGGAAGGTTGGGCAATCCTACTTCCGTAGTGATCCTGCCTCGGAAACCCAAGGAGGGGTCGCTATGAGTCGGGTTTGACTCGATGGCACACAACAACAACAACAACAATAGAGGTATGCAAACTTTTCCTTTCTCTCTAAACCAAAACTCCCTGCTGTTGAGTCGATTTCATGTCACAGTGACCCCCATTTTGTGTCCAAGGTGGTAAATCTTTATGGAAGTAATTGCCCACTCTTCCTTCAGCATAGTGGCTGGTGGGTTTCAACCACCAGCCTTCTAGGTAGCATTCAAATGCCTTAGGCACTGCACCACCAGAGCTCCTAATCCTTTCTAAGTAAAGCTAATTATATGATGTACTTTAAACTTGCAGAAGAAATCATTGCTTTTGGAATGAGATTAATAAGTGCTCAGCCAATCCATAACTATCTCAAATCTTTTGAGAAATAAATAAGTGATTATAATTTTATATGTAATGCTTAATCACTTGTATTATATCACAGTTAATATTTTGGTATACAAAAGTTTTAGTTAATTGATACTGTGACATGCAGAAGTGTCAAAATTTGGATACTTATTTTAAAATATATATGTTATTATTTCCTGTATTGAGGAAAGATGGTATCCATAGAGTTTGTGGCCAAATTTCCCTTTCTAGATTTCAATGCTCATTTCAGTAAATTCTAACTGAATTCCTCTTTGAAGATTCGTTTTGGTAATAGTAGTTTAATCAGGATGCTATAAGCTTAAGAACCATTACAGTAAAGATAAAAATGCTTATAACCATGCACTCTATAATTTTATATCTCCTTTAATTTAAATAAAAGCATTATTTTAATGACACTTGTCTTTATCTTCATACCATATCATCCAGATAAACATAATTTTAATTGTTGCGTAATGGTTAATCAAATAGATAAACTATAGTAGCTTTAAAAACTCTAATATTGTTGTGTAAGCTGGATATAAATTTTTCATTAAAAATAATAGATTTATAATGTTGAAAAGAGTATAAGGGTATAATAGTTCTCTCCTACTACATTTGAATTTCAATGTTATTACCTCAAGGGAGTGTATTTGGGAATTTAAAAAGGTGAGTAAGAAAATGAGCTATGTTTTAAAAGGATGAAAAAACAGACCTTGTCTTTTTTTGCCATAAGTAATATCTTATATTATTTTGGATGCCAGGCAGTTTTCTTCTATTTTGTGATAAAATCAAAGGTTTATTGCAAAAAATAAATTTTTTTTC